TGTTTACGAGTTTACACGATGTAATGGAATGGAACAAGTCTCAATGATGTTGATATTTTTGGAAAGTGGGTAATTCAAAAGAATTTTTAATATATTATGTATAGAGAAAATGAATATTATTATTGTTTGTATGTTATTTTATATAATATTTAAATAATACCCAATATTTGATGTTTATAAATATTTTAGGATTATAAATTTTAAATTCGTCAACTAAATCATTCTTAAAAATAATTTCGAATTTAATAAGGAAATAAAGAAACTATTATTATGTACGTCAAATGCAAAAAGGAAAGCAAACAATAACAAATAAACAATTCTTCATCGTCATCAATAAAAGAATTTCAATTGATTTCAAGTCAGAAACAATTTTTCAATTACAACCATAGTCTATGATTTTCTTAACTGGTTTAGTATCTACTACATATTCTGAGATTTATCTTCATACATCTACTATGATATAACTTGGAACAGTAACTGATAATATTCGATGTTATGCAGAATTGAATTGATAGCTATATCAGATTTGCAATCTAATCAAGCATAGTTTCATCATTACTCTTTAACTATCTTCAATAATTCGCATCTATTACCTTTCAATTTGTTATTTTTTATATTTCCTTTTGCATGGATATCATAATCTTTTATATATTTCTTTGCGTTGGCGAGATCATTATATCTGTCGGAAATAGAAGTTCTTTTAAAGAAGAAGAAATAGTACTTTTCTATGATGAATGAAAATTCATGAAAATGCATTAAGGATAATTCATAATATATTTTTTGTAGAAAACGACAAATAAACATTTATGGAACATGATCGTATAATATGCAAACAAAAATGAAAAAGAAATTGACATCTTACCAAAAATAATTATTGTTCTAGTTTGATATTAATAAAAAATGTAATTATAAATCAATGGTAATTGAAAAAATCAATTTAATATATATATATATTTTTTAAAATTATAATTATATTTGTAATTTTCAACTATAAAAAAAATAAAAATAAATGCAGATAAAAAAAATAATATAATGTTCAGGAAACGATCAAAAGACAAAGGAAAGTTACACTACATGATTCAAAAGAAGGAAGTGCTCCTTTTAATTGCGTAGTCTCGCAAATGAAGTTTCCAGTAAACTCACTGATCAAAGTGAAATCTCGATAATTATATTCATAAAAGATATAAAAATATTTACAGAAACATTTTAAACTTTATTCAATTGAAATTAAAAAAAGAAAATAGAAAACAGAAATATTAGGAATAAAAAAAAATAAAAAAAAAACGCGGGAAAAAATATTATGCTTTAAGAAGGATAAACGAAAATTATGATATACAAATTGCGTAAATATATGAAAAACATTGATGACGAGTATGTACATAATATCCCGATCATAACGGTTGCCTGACACGTACCTATCAGTGGCGCCCGACAAGTAGGAATAATGATAATGGTAATCCACAGTAAGACGAGTAAGTGCGGCAACCTCCTAGACACCCCTCGATACTTGCCGCGTACTCCCCACCCATGCAGCATTCACCCCACCTCGCTACTCGGCGTTGTGATTTTCCCCTACTACTCAACTACAATATCTTCCCCTGCCACTTCCTCTAGGCAGGTTCGGTCAGCGTGATGCCTCGCCCGCGATTCAACCTGTTTTCCACCCCACCACGTGTCACGATGGACTACTTCCCCTTCGCTGTATTTTCATCCCCACCAGGCGATCATACGGTCTCCCCTCCCGGTAAAGCACGGTGCTCGCGCATGCGTGCACCGGATGCG